GCAAATTCACACAAAACCAGGCAGGAACTGTTCAGAGCTTTAGCACTAGGAATCCTATAGCCAGCTGCCCTCCAGGGAACCACAGGCAGGAGATATGTCATAAGGTGGCAGTCTGGGGCCTGCGCAGCAGTGCTGGGCAGTTGCCACTGAGGCTGAACTCACCTAAAGACAGACTGGGACACTGTTCCACAGCCCCATTTGTCAAGAAGTTTGCAAGTTACTTGGAAGGCTGCTTTGGTCACCCCAAAAAGGCAAAGTATGTCCCTTATAAGGATTCCAGTTATTTGGTTGGGGCCCCATCCTTATGACCTTGTTTAACCTTAATTACCTCCTTAAAGTCCCAAATTCCAAATACAGTAACATTGGGAGGTTAGGGCTCAACATATGAATGGGGGGTGGGGTGGGGCTGGGCTACAATTTAGTCCATATGGGATCTCAGTGGGCCAGTTGCCAGAAGGCTGGGGAAGTAGGGAACGCAGTTGTTAGGACTGGCTTACACCACTCATGTTCCATTAATCCTGAGATGCTGCTGTGGACCCAGCTGGAGTGCTGTTAGCAAAGACAAAGGGGAATGTGAATGATTCTTGTATTATCCACTGGTTTCCCCCATACCCAAGGCCACAGGATTGCAGTTACTCTACAAACAAGACTGCAGCTGTTCCACGCCCACTCCACCCTTGGTTTCGATCACAGATTATCCCTACCTCACAGCCCGAGAGGAAAGACCATTTTTTGTGGTGGTGGTTGGGGGTGGGGCAGCCTACCTGATTTCTCCCAAGAAGTTGCCTCCCAGATTACTACCCAGGCATCCAGCTCAGTAGCTCATGAGCAAGTGGTCCCACCCAGGCTTCTAGGATTGGGCTCCCTGCCCAGGTCCTGCTCCCCCACAGCCCTTCCTCTGGGGGGGAAACCAGACATCTCTGCATGGGCCCTGGGGCTGAGGTGTGGCATTGAGGCCAGGACCTCAGCCCATCGTCAGGTGGTCACCAGCTAGTCAGCCTGCACACACATGGCAGGGTTGGCTACCCTGGCGGTGAGCATGCTCCTGCCCTGGGCCTCGCAGACATTGCCAGTCAATGGCACCACTTTCACACTGAGCTCAAAGCTGCAGGAAACATGATCAGTCAGGGCTGGTACCTGGGTGAAGCTGACTACCCACTCGACCCAGACATAAGCAGGACCCAAGGTCAGGGTCAGTCTGAGTCTGAGCCATACAGGACAATAGGGGGCGTCACACCTGAACTTCAGAAGCTCTGAGGTGAAGGGTGGCAGGCAGCTGGCCACACAGGACCGGAAAGAGCTGGTGATGCACATTCATGCAAGACTCCAGTTTGCCAAGCACTCTTATTAAATGCCCATAGCTTCTGATGGGAAATGACTCACCTCCATGTCATAGGTGAGGACACGGAGGCCAAGGAAGTGTTTTCACCTGGTGTCACCATGTGGTCCACTTGGCAGACACACTTCCTCTGAGGTACAGGCTGGTGCCTCGGGAGCACAGGTAAGCACAGGACAGATCAGACTCCCTGAAAATGTATCCTGAAGCTGAGACTCACTGGGAAGTAAGCAGTGGGATGGCTGTGGCAGTGATGTGCTGGCAGGTGGCAGGTACAGTGAGGCTGGGGGCCAGGGATGAGAGAGGGAGAACCCTTGTTTGCAGCATTTGCTAATTCCCTGAGGGTATGAGTGTTCTCACTTTGGCCTAGTTCAAGGTACCAGCGTGGCACCACTAAATGCTGAGCCATGGCTAGCTCCAGCTCAGGACAGCAGTGCCCAGTGGGTGGGAGAGAGGGGCGCCTGTCTGCTCCCCCTGCAGTTGGAGAGCTGCACAGCCTCTCCTGCCTCAGTGACCTTCGAATTCCTCCTGAACCCGGGCTGGGGGGGAGGGGGAGGGGGGAGTTGATCTCAGGGCCCCTGCTCTGGCTTCCAGCTCCTTGATCTTCCCTTCCCTCCCCCCAGCTCCAGCTCCATATAGTGACACAGTGGGCAGGTGGGAGGAGTCCCAAGAACCCGAGACAGAACCAGGAGCCAGGGAGTGGAGTGGAAGTGGGAGGTGCTCACCCTTCTAAGAGCCCTACCAGGAGCCCTTTCCCTCCCCATGAGGGCCGCACAAACAGGGCTGGGAGGTGGCTGCCACTTGTGGGCAGATGATGTTGGTGTTGCAGGAGTGGCCAGGGGCCCAGGGGAGCTAGGAAGGGCCTCTGGAGACCAGGGTACCTACCCCTCTCCAGACACTAGACCCTAATCTGTGCCTCATTCTGGGTCACAGTGCAGCACCTGGAAGTGACTGCACTCATTTCATGGGTTCACAGATGTGGCCAGGGAGGGGCAGAAGCTGCTGGGACACTGCGAGTCAGGCAGGATGGGAGGCTGCACCCCATGCCCTGTCCAGCCCACCTGCTCCTGCTGGCCCATAAAACAAGGACACTGTACTGGCGAGCTGGCAGTGACCCAACTCTGCCCTGCGTTCCTGCCTGCCATTGAGTTTTCCAGCGGTGACATCCTCGGAGTCATTTGCTTAGGGAACTGGCCTTGGCCCATCCATGGCAACAAAGAACCGAGGCTGCTACCTAATGCCGGAGCAGCACAAGGACTCAGGGGGGCCAATCTCTCAGTGTTGGGGACAAGTGGGGCTGTGGGGACTGTAGTGAACGGGCAGGTACACCCTGCCCAAGGTGTAGCAGCCACTACTCAGCTCCAGGCAGTGGCCCCACATGACCAGAAATTCTGATTTTTAAAAAGAACCCCAATATCCAAATTTTTATGTGCAATCTTTTGATTTTTAAATGCTGGCGTTACAAAAACATTTTTTTTTAAATCTCATGGGTCAAACCTAACACATCTTCAGACCGCTGTTTGCAGACTCTGGTCTTAAGCCTAAATCCTTCCTGAGCCATGGAAATCTCGCCTGTGGGGTCCCAGCTACCCTTTCCTCTCCTTCCCATTGCCAGCCTCGGCTGTGCCCACCAAGACCGCTCCCTGCAGCCTCTCCACACTACCCTGAGGGGCTGAACCTCCCACTGCATCCAGACCCTGTGGCTCCCACTCTGAAGGTCCGGCCTCTGTCATCTCTGCTGTCGTCAGTGGACCCTCAAGTCCCTCCCCAGTACTAGCTTGCTTGTGCTGATCTCAAGGCTTCCCACATCTTGACCCCTTGGTCCTTGACTTCCTCTCCTCCAATGACATTCTCTCCCACCCACCCCCGTCCCCACTCACCGCCTTCCTGGGTCCCTCTCTCCCTGTCCTCACCCAGCTTCAACCCCGTGGCCCACTGTTGTCACTCTTGTACCACCTCCGCACCCAGTCCTCGGTGGGTCCCTCTTGCTTCCTGGACTCTCCTAGCACTATCCTCGAGTCAAACGGGTGCTTCCCAGATCAGCCTGCCCAGTGCAGCCTGCTCCCTCCCTCCAGATCTTTAGACCCCCTTCTCCCTCACCTCCAACTTCCAACCCCCACCCCCCATCCTAAGAAAACAAAAAGCACTACCAGAGGAGTTCACACCCCCACCCGGGCCCAAATCTGCTGCCTCTGTGTCACTGAGTGGGTTCTTTACCCCCACCCCAAAGCTCAGCGCTCTTAAGCCAGGACCAGGACCCTCCTCTGCTCCCAGCTCACTTGTTCTATGCGTGCAGCCTCAGTGCCCTGTCCCCCCTCACTTTGCTCAAACTTGGAGGCACGTGTAGGCTACCCTTCCAGGAGCTGGGCTCTCTTCCACTCAGCCCAGCTCAGTGCCTGAAGTTCCAGATCTCGGAGCTGTTTCCCCATTTGTAAATAAGGACAGTCCCTTCCCTGGGACTGTGAGAAAGCCCTGCTAAGCTGTCATAGCAGAGCTGCGGCACAGTGCATGGAGGTTTTCAAGAAAGCATGCCCACATTTAGCCCTGGGTGTTTGCTGACACCCAAGGCAGGCACAGAGCTGTGCCCAGCCCCAAGTGGACACATGTAGTCCCCAGAGCAGCCTCCAGAGGGTGCCACCACCACAGCTCTGAGAGGCCTGTGCCCAAGTGCTGCCGCAGGTGCACCTGGCCCCTGGAAGCTGCGGCTTTGCAGATGAAGGGGACCTTGCACACAACAGGTAGTCTTCACCCCTCCTTACCCAGAGGATTTGACCCAGCACCCTGTCAACCAATGAGACCCCAGGGGCTCAGAGAGGTAGGAAGTACGTGGTTGTGTGCAGGAGCTGGAGCTCAGGGCAGGAGGCCACGCAGCTACTCACAGCTACCTGGACTGGCATCTGGTAGCTCCCTGGAGGGCAGTAGAGAATTGGGACATTCCCCCCTCCAGAGCCTGAGAGTGTTCCCAACAGTGGTGACCATCTCCCTCTGACATCCACATCGCTGGCCCTGGCCTAGAGGGCAGCTACTTCACCTGTGCCCATCTGAGCCCCTTGAGTTGGAGGCTGGACTGGATGGCCTTCAGCCCTGGCAGCCCACCCCCTGCTGCCAGACATGTTGAATGTGCCTGGGCCTGGGTCTGTCACACTCAGTGGTGATCCTGTGTTCCTGGCCTCGGCCTGCTCACCTGTTAACTAAGGGGTAGTCACACTAATTGCCACTCCCATGGTCTGAGGCTGTAAGCACCCGACGGCAGGGTGAGTTCCAGGGCTATGAAAGGCCACCCACTGACAGCCCTGCCCACAGACATGGCCCTGCCTCACCAGCCCTCAAGAAGGTCACACCATGTACACACTGGCATTTTATTGGATTTTCCGTGGGCACCTGGATGCCTCAAGCTGCTATCTGACTTCTCAGCCCCTCATCCTGTTCCTGGCCTCCGCTCTGGGGCCCCAGTTGGGAGCTGCCAGCCCTGCACCTTCTTCTCCCCAGGCCCCCCTACAACTGGATGCCTAGCCCCCAGGCTCAGGCTGCTACCTCGAGACAAACCCAGTTTTCTCACTGCCTCCCTCTGTGCCAGGCTGCCCCACCAAGGGCCCATTCTTGCATTGGGCACAGCCAAGCTCTCCTGCCGAATGGGCTTCCAGCCCAGAGCCCCTTGGCAGTGCCCCTATCTTGAGCTGCGTCAGACCTTCCACAGCATAGCGCAGAGCTGTGGGCTCCCCCTACAGCTTGGTGTTAAGGTGGAAAGAGAAGTGGGGTGCTGCATAGGTTGTGGCAGGCGGTATGTGCCATGCAGATGAGGCTGGGCAAAGTCTGTGGCGTAGGGCACTGTCGAAGGATGCTGGGGGGAAGTGCATAAGGCCAGAGGCCATGGGCGAGGGGGCTGTAGTGGCCAGGAAGTGAGCTGGGAAGGCTGGGATGACCAGGGGGCTGAAGGGGAGTGAAGCCTGGGCCTTTAAGGGGTCCGGGGTGCCAGTGAAGTTCAATGGGCAGCGCAGCATGGTGCCCCTGTAGGCCTCCGGGAGGGTAGGCCCCAGGGCCGGGCCCAGCAGGCAGGAGACAGCCAAGCCAGGCCCCACGGACTTGGCCCTGCACTCCTTGGCATCCACCTCCTTGAGAAAGGGAGACACTGCCTGCAGTTTTTTGGCACCAGGGACAAAGCCCTCTTCCTCCCGGCTGCGTTTGCTGAGGCCTGTGCTGCCAGGGTAAGTGGGTAGGGGCACAGGGATCTCGGCAGGAACCTTGGCCATGGGGGATACCCAGCAGGCTTTGGGCTTGGGGTAGAGGCTGCCTTTTCTGGAGCCACCTTTGTGGAATGCAGAGGGACGGTTGACATCCCCGCCCCACACCAGCGGCGACTCTTTGATTGGCAGCCTCTCCTCTTTGCCAGGGGATCCCAAGAGCACCCCATCTTTGAGATGGGGAAAGAAGTCCCGAGGGTGCTGGCTGATGGGCTTCAGCACCTTGGTAGGGTAGGCGTGGAAACAGCCAGTGAAGATGGGGGCTGGAGGGTGGGGGCCCGCCTGAGCCTCCTCCCTGAAGCTGCCACCAGAGGCCTGTGACCCCTCCTGAGGGGCCAGGCGGTGCCTATGGTTCTCAGGTGACTCTCCTGGGCTCCGGGGACTCTCGAGGGGGCGAATAGCTGGGGTCGCCTGGGGCTCCGCATTAGGGCTGCCCGCCCCGTGGCAACAGCTCTCCTCCTGGCACTGCAAGGCTCCTGCCTTGCTCACCTGGGCCAGGAGCTTCTTCTTGGCCAGTGGTGACATGATGCCATGTGTCCCTTTGCAGTAGAAACTGGAGAGGAGCCGCTTGTAGGCCTCAGGGCAGCCGCTGGCACCCACGAAGGGCAGAGAAGACCCGGGAGCCGGGCCTGGCTGTTCGGCACTGTCCTGGGGGGACTCCTGGCTGGGGGGCCTCACCAGGTCAATGGTGTCTATCTTGGTCTTTCCTGGCATTATCTAAAATGAGAAAAAGTCAGGCCTCAGGGCTGGGCATGAGCCGTGCATCCTGAGCTGGGGAAGCGGTGACAGCAGGGCCCCAGGGGGTACCCAGTAGCCTCTGTGCAACATTTTCAAAAGGTGTCCTGTCGTCTGAATGGACACAGCCTGGTATCAGGACATGGCCTGGGAATGAGTGCAGACTGCAGTCAGACCCCACCTGGACCCTCACACAGTGAACAGTTTACAACAACAGATTCGGGTGTTCTGGGCAGGGAGCTATGTGGTCACGCCATAGTGGGGACAGGTGGGGGCAGCTGCAACAGGCAGGGGACAGGGAAGCCCAGGGTCAGCTGGTGGCCCCAGGTCGGAGCTCACCTGGCCCACCGGCTTCTCCTCCTTGGCCTTCTTTGGCCTCTCAGTGGCCCCTTCGTCCCCCCGAGGCTCCTTGGCCACCTTGTATTGCTTCCTGGGCTTGGAGGGGGGCAGCGGCTTGTCATCCTCCCCCTTCAGGTGTCGCACGTATGGGAGGACCAGCCTGGAAAGGGGGCGGCATGTCTACCAGGAGGCCAGGACTGGCAGGCACCCCCACCCCTTGTGCCTCCCCACAACCATGCACACTCCTGTGGACAGTGCACGCAGCCAGGGCCACGCTCCTCATCCCGCCCAGGCCTGCAGTGGGGCGCACGCCCCACCCCCCGCCGCTCATCCTGCCCACCCCTGTACACAGCTGTACATTCTTCAGCACCCCATTCCTGCACCCACACCCCTGCGGCTCTGCCCGGCCCTGGAGGGAAGGGCCTGGAGGTCCTGTAACTGCCCCCAGCCACACCTCTCGTAGTGGCGGCGCGTGCAGGTGGCTGCGCTGGTGCTGCCTGGGCTGCCCCCCAGCTCGTCATACACGTTCTTCCAGAGGCGGCGGCCGGTCACCTGCAAGGGCACCAGGTGAGGCAGGGTGCCTGCTAGCCGCGGGGCCAGGTTGGGGGTTGGGGGGGTTGGAGGGGCTCATTTGGCAGCAGGCCAGCACCCCATCCCCCACCCCGGCCACTGGACTGCTGGCCCAAGCAGCTTTCCCAGCTCGGGAAAGGCAGAACAGATGGGGAAGAGAGGAAACTTGCTTTGAGCAGCAAAGTACCGGCGGGCAAGGTGAGCCCCTCTCCCTCCCCTCTGCATGCCGGGAAGCTGGGGAGGGGCAGGACTTGGGACCCTGCCTCCTCCTGTCTGGAGGCAAGGGCAGCTCTGTTGGGCTCACCCTCTTCCCCAGATCCCCCTGGGTGCAGCTGGGATGTGCGGGGAGACGCAGCATGGCGAGGACTCTGAGGTGCCTTCCTTACCATCTCATAGGCCCCCAGCTTCTCCACTGCCTTGTAGATCTTCCACAGGTTAACTGAAGAAAAGAGGGCAGGGCGCTGTCAGTCTCTGCCAGAGGAGGGGGCAGCCCGCAGCCCATCCCCACGACTCTGTCAGGCAGGCACAGAGCCAGGGCCACTGCGGTGGATGGCAGGCTGGGCAGGCCGTGTGCACTGCTGCCCAGTGGCCAGTGAGGATGGAAATCCAGGCCCGCCCATAGTCAGCCCAGTACCTGGAAGGGGGCACCCTTTCTTTGTGCAACCCCTGGGGGCTGCCAGTGTCAGGGTCACCAGAGTGGAGGTGCCTGTCCAGATGCCCTGCCTGGGGGGGGTTCCCTACCGGGCCCCCCTCCCTGCCTGCACCCCAGGCACGCACTCTGCTTGAAGCCGAGATGGGGCACCCTCTCGATGGGCGTGTGTCGCTCCTTCATGAACTTGTAGAGGCTCACCAGGAAGGCCTGCTCCTCCTCCCGCTCCTGCTCCTCCTCCCGCTCCCCGCCTGCCTCGGGGGAGTCCTAGGGAAAGAACAGGAGGCACTGGGATCAGCCCCCAGCTGGTGGCTGGGGACAGGCTAAACCACTGGCTGCTGGGGAGGAATGAGCTGTGTGGCCCCCAAACCCCGGCTCCCACAGAAGAGAGCAGGTGCCCAGGACCCAGCCTACTACTCTGGGCTGGAGGGGTGGTCCTGGTGTCAGAAAGATGCCCTTGTCAGCTACGAGTGCCCAGGACCCCAGGTGAGGGTCCACAGAGGCCTGGCTCCAGGGGTGGCCAAAGGAGCAGCCTCGCACCTTCTCCAGGCCTCTCTCCGGGCACAGACCACTTCTTCCATGTGGCTCTAGATTGCTTATGTCTGTGTCTCAGCTCCTCTACCAGGCTGAGTTCCTGGGGGCAGGCTTTGGTGTCCCCAGGTCTCCAAATGCCCCCTGTGGTCAAAGCTGAAGGAACAGCCCTGGCCTATGGTTCAACTGGTTGGAGCATGATCCCAAGCACCAAAAGGTTGCGGGTTTGATCCCCAGTTGGCGCATACAGGAGGCAACCAACCGATGGTTCTCTCTCACATCTGTTTCTCTCTCTCTCCCTTCCTCTCTCTAAAATCAATGAACATACTGGGTGAGGGTGTTTTAAAAAAAAAAGAGGCTGAAGGAACAAAGGTGCTTGGTGCTTTCTGGCGCTGTGGGCCGCTCCACCAGGCCTGCGCCCAGCCCACCTCTGCCGTAGTGGCCCTCCTCCCTGGCCAGTCTGTGTGCCAACCTTGGGGAGCGGAGCCATGCCCTGGGTTCCTGGCACTCTTCTGTCAGAGGCACAGAGCTTTTGGTTTCTGCTCCCAGAGGTGCAGTTTCTACTGATGCTGTTCATCTGGCTGGTGGCTCGGGGCAGAGGATACGGTTGGGCTGGGGCTGAGGGCTCGGGGAGCAGACAACTCCCGGCCTGTGGGTGGGGAGGCCCCAAATACCAGAAGGACGTAACCCTCCGGGCCTAGAGCAGTGCAGAGAGCCATGCATTTCCCAAATATTCTATCCAGTGCCGTTTCGGTGTTCTTGTGATAAACACACAGGCTCAGGCGCTGCCTATGAATGGAACATGCTGGAGACCAAGGTGCTGGGTGGCGCCGCCCCAGGAGGAAGGCGCTCACCCCCGCTCCTCACGCGCGCGAGCGTGCTTGTTCTTCTCTGAGCTCCACGTGGGCTGTTAAAAACTGTGACCACTTGCAAACACTTCTTCTACATGAGTTAGGAATTTTACTCCAGACTGCCACCAAAGCAAACGGCCCGAATGAATGGGTGCTGAGGCTGGCCACTCGGCTCCCCAGCTCCTCCTCAGACTGAGCTCACGGAGCAGAACAGCCTCCCTGATCTCACCCAGTGACGCTCACATCCACGTTATACATGTGGACGGAGGGATGGATGAAAATGCAGTTTTACATCATAGGACAGTGCTTTTATCTGTGTCGTCTGATCAGGGTCCGGGTAATCTTCTGATAAAGGGTTCCGCTATGAAAAAGAAGTCTGACAGCCGCACCCTGGTGGGGGCGAGCCCTCCTGCCTGCCTGGCTCCCACACCTCCCAGTGCAGGGCCGGGACCATCGCTGGGCCCCTCTCCTGGCTGTGTAGCATTGGGGAAGGGAACACATCTCCCTCCTGAGAGTTTGAGGGTCTCCAAGTTCACCTGGAAAGTACCCGGGGAAAATCACCTAACTCACCTCTAGCTGGATTGGGCTCTGGCTCCTGCTCTGCTCACCATCAGGTTGAGGGGACACAGGTGGGTCTATGGGGTCACCCCCCTCTGACTGTTTCCTTTTCCCTGTGACAGGAGATGCTGTGAGGAGAGGAAGAAGAGGGAAAGAAGGAAAGGGGACACATGAGATGCAGGCAGGCAGGAACAGGTGGTGAGGAGAGGCTCTCTGGGGAGAGGTGCTAGATCTGAATGGGCCAAGTAGGGAGAGTCCTCTCCTTCCTCTGCAGGGTGTCCTCTGCCCTGGTGGCAGAGGGCTGACTCTGCTCTCCCAAATTCACCCCCCACCAGGCCCGGCCTGGCACACCTGCCACTGTCCTTCGCCTGTTCCAGCACCTCCCCACATCTCTGAAAGAAACTCTAAACCAGCTGGGGATCGAGTCCTAGGAGGCCGGAGTTGGAGCCATGGCGCTTGGGGAAATCCTGTCTCCAAGATCTGCCCCACATTCAGGCAGGAAGTTTTCCCAGCAACTCGGCTGAATTGGGAAAGCCGCTGAGTCTGCCATGTGTGTGGGCCCCAAAAGCACCATGGGGGTTCCTGAACTGTAGATCTTCCAGGAATAATTCAGGAAAGAGTAAGTTCCTGTTTGTGATGCACTGGGCCTTTCCCTGAGCATCTGCAGAGTAATCACCACTCCCTCCTCCCCTCACCTGCAAGGGCCCTGGTGACCCTTCGGGTCCCACCTGACAGGTCACTTCCTCAGCGTGGCCCTTCCCAGCCCCCAGCCAAGCACAGTGCTCCTGCTTCTCTGGTCTCCTCACTGCTCACCACCATCCTAACTGACTGCCTGTCACTTGTTGGCCAGTTAGGGCGAATGCAGGGAGGAGCCAAGGACCCTTCACTCGGCAGCCACAAGCTGATGGTCGCAAACACTCAACACCCCGCCACTGCCAAAAACACTGCCATGGAAACTGCCCCAACCACGTGGCAGGCTGGCAGCAGATCTGAGGCCAGGAAGTCACATCTTTTGACCACTCTTCCTTTCTCTTTCCTTTCCCTTTTTCTTTTTGTTCATCTAGTTTGAACTGCTCCTGGGTCCTGGTTCGCTCCAGCTCAGGAAATCCTTACTGCTGGGAACCTGGGAGGTTACCCCTCCACCCCAGACCGAAAAAAAAAAATCCCCTTAACAACAGACCCGTACCAACACGGCCCACAGTCCAGTGGCACTCAGAAGCACGTGGCCCCGGGTTGCTGTCCCCTTCAATAGCTGCTCACAGAAGTGCCACTATGCCTGCAGTTACTCTACATGGGTCCTCGGCTCTGTGTCTCTGGCTTTCTCGTTTAATCCCAGAAGGGATCGCATTTTAAAGAGGGGGAAACTGAAGCCAGAGAGGCTAAAGTTCTTGTCCCCCTGGGAAACCAGAATTCAGAACAAGGTCTGTCTGACCCCCAGTCCAGTGGCCTGGCTTGGCCATCACTGCGGCTGCTGTGGTTACCATCAACATTTGCAAAGCCTTGAGGAGGGGACTAAATAAGCATGGAAGAGAAACCAGTCCTAACGCTTGAGAGAAAGAGACACGGCCATCCTCCTAGGCTGGCTTCTGACCACCAGAGACAAGGCTGGTCTTCAGAAACAACTGATTGCTCACACTGACACCCCCCCACACCCACCCACACACCAGCCCTGGGCAGGTGGCTCAATTAATTGGAGTGTTGTCCCCATGCCCCAAAAGGTTGCAGGCTCAATTCCTGGACAGGGCACATACCCAAGGTTGTGTTTGATCCCCAGTTGGGATGCATATGGGAGGCAACCAATAGATGTTTCTCTCTCATGTTTCTCTCTCCCTTTCTCTCTAGACATATCCTCGGGTAAGGCTAAAAGAAACAAACAATGACCCCCCCTCAGACTGCTGCTTTTCCGTGGGTGACTCTGTGCCTCAGTCTTCCCTTCTGTGAAGCAGGAGGGGAAGCCCCGAGTCCCCCGCTAGCTGTCGGAGAACTCCAGGTCTTCTGGGTCACGGGAGCACCTGCTGCCAGCAGGCTTTCTCCTTTCCCCTCGGCCCTCTCCCTTCCGCTTCACATCCTCTCCCTTCTTCCTTGCGGGCTCAGATCCTCAGCATCACAGGACTCTCCCCATCTGTCCCTGTGGCCTGGGCTTCTCACTGAGCCTCCTGCAGATTGGGTCTGTGACCTGGCAAGTCACTGTCCTTGGCCTCAGAGAAACAGGTGGTGGGGACAGGCCCATTAGAATCACCTGGGGAGCATTCTAAAGACACTGATGCCTGTCGCCCCACGCCCACCTGAGTTTGACTTAAGGTCCTGCCAGGGGCATCCGTGTTTAAAGCTCCCCAGGGGATCCCAGGGAGCAGTCAGGCTGAGAGCCCCTGGGCCAGAGGATCTCTAGTCCCTTCTACTGGGGTTCGAAGTTGGTGAGCTCCACCTGGGCCACACTCAGGAAAGATATCCTGGAATCAGGCGCTCTGGTTACCTGGAAAGGAGGTCACCAATCTGAGCTGTTTAACCCCAGATGGCAAAGGGATTAGAACGCTTGCTGAGAGCCACAAAGGGACTAACTCTCTTTACCTCTGTGTCCAGCTGAGTCCCCACATGAACTCAGCTTCCATTCTCTCCCAACCAGGGCCAGTATGCTCTCCCTGTCCTGGTTGGGCCTTCTGGCCCAACTGTCACAGCCTTAAATGACGGAGGGAGAGTGCAGGGTGCCTCAGACCTGGCTGGCTGCCCTAATCCCTTCCTTCCCCAGTCATTTGTATATCAGGGCTCCAGGAAATCTGCATTTGCAAAAAGGGTTCTGCTACAAAAATAAATTTGAACCCCCCTGCCATAGGTGATGGGCTAGCCCTCCTACCTGCCCAGCGTCCAGTTCTCACACTTCCTAATGCAGGGCCATCTGTCTCCCAGCCACATCCAACCTGCAGAGGCAGGAAAAACCCACCTGCTGAGTGACCGCTGTGGCCCACGGAGCCACTGCATGAATGCCTTGTTCTGAGCTTACAGGTACAGACCCCTCTTGAGCACAAAGCCTCAGATGCCTTATTGTAACCGAGGAGGCAGATTCAATTACAACCACCCCTGCTTTCCAAAGGAATGGCATTCAGACACTGCTTTTTCTATCCAGGAAGCAATAATGACAATAATGGTGATAGCTGTTTCATTGTTTACTTTGGATACATCTGGAATCCATAAGGTATGAGATAGGACCTAACCATACTCCTCTCCTCACTGGTTAGGTGGTCCCAGTATTGACTGAGTGAC